AATCCCGAAATTTAAAAAAGTGAAAATAGATTTTTTTTTCATTTTTAATATTTTATTGAGTTTTTGTGTATTTCATATAATACATCTTAATCATATTTAGACTCCTCCCCTGTCTGCACCCCATGGCCTGCCTACCAGACCTCATGCATTCTGTATTGTATGTTAAGGCCCATTGCATCAGGTTTGTGTACTCGGGTATCCCTTGGTGTGAGTTCACCCACTGGAGCCTGGTCAGCCTATCTAGCATCACTCCCTTAAAGAAGATCAGCCGACAGTTGATCCTCAGCTAAGGTTGGGCCGGATGCCCGTTTCCCCTGTTCTCTGCTGGGCTTTTGTCTGATTGAGTTTTCATGGGTCTTGTGCATGCTGTCACCATGGCTGTGAGTTCATATGAGCAAGTTCCCAGAAGCCTGGAAAACTCTTGTTTCTTTATGGTCATCCATCATCCCTGGCTCTTACAATTTTTCTGCCCCCTCTTCTGCAATGGTCCCTGAGCCCTGGGAGGTGGAGGTTTAATATAGGAATCCTATCCTAGGACACATTTTCTGTAGTCTGTTATTTCTACACTTTGGCCAGTTGTGGCATTCTGTGTTAATTAAAGGGAAATATTTCTTAACCTTTTTTTTTTTCTTTTTTGGTCTTTTTTTGAGATGGTCTCCCTGAAGCCCCAGCTGTCCTGGAACTCACTGTGTAGACCAGGCTGGCCTTGAACTCACAGAGATCCACCTGCCTCTGCCTCCTGAGTGCTGGGATTAAAGGCATGCGCCACCACGCCCGGCTCTTAACCTATTTTTTAAACTCTATTTAAAGCCTTGTAGCTCCCCTCCCCTGCACCATCATCCCTTCCTAAGCAGTTTTAATGCTATGTAGATACACTGCATGTCAGTGTATGTCAGCATCTATAAACAGATATGTTCATAGATTTGTGCTTTATACACAAGCATAAGTTTTCTCATCCTAAAGAAATAAGTTTTTCTATTGCATTGAGAATGCATATCATCATGACCACATTTCAATTGCCCTGTCACTACTTTTGAGCAAAGACTTTCTTGTACCATTCCTCATGAGTACTAATTGCCCATGTTTAGTTTTAGTGAAAGTGTAGGATGTAGAGCTCCAGATGTTTTGCCATTTAGCTAATGTGCATGTGGTTTAACTTATGACATTTTATTTTGATTATCAATGAAAATAATGATACATGTTAGAATGAATTAAATATATAACCGTGTAACATGATTAACACATTACTTGTGCTCATTTTATACAGGGGATATAATGGGTTTTAATCTGTGCTATATGAAGTGGCTGATAGACCCTCTGCCAGTGAATGTCAGGGTCACTGTGTCTGTGAATGTGGAGACATGCCCTGCGGCATGGAGGTTGTGGCCTACACTACATCTTGATCCTTTAAACCCCAAAGATGAATCTATAATAATTGCAGAATGTGACTTTTCGGACATAATACTGAGTAAAGAGCAGGTGAGTATTTCCCACTGTGATGGTTTCTTCACTCTGTCAGCTTTCCTGTAAAATACCTTGCACAAGACTTAAAATTCAATATAGGAGCTCTGTTCTCATGAGGAAAATTGGAATTCAGTAATTAATTTGGTAAATTCATTCTCCCCTTTAAAAACTGTATTTGTGTGTGTGTATGTGTGTGTGAGAGAGAGAATGAATGAATGAATGAAGGTGTACACACCCACGCATGTGCATGTGGAGGCTAGATATTGAAGTCAGGAATCTTTCCTCTGCCATTGCTCCTCATCTTATTTTTTGGAAACAGGGTCTGTCAGTGAACCTAGTGCTCACCAGTTGGCTAGCCTAGCTGACCAGCAAACCCCAGTGATCTGGTTACCTCTGCTACCCAACCTTCACTCCCATTCCCACTTCCCAGTCCTGGGGTTACAGGCAGTCACCACTGTGCCCAGCTCTTTTTTTGTATGTGGGCTCCTGGCAAGCTGAACTTAGGGCCTCAAGCTTGTACAGCAAGCACTTCAACCACTGAGCCATCTCCCCAACCCGCTCCATTCCCTTTTTAATCTTATAGAACTAATAAAAATATTTTGGCCTTAAGGGATACTATATAGTATTAAGTATGTGTTCTAAAAGCTGGAAAGTGTTTTCCTATTGGCTGCATCTTCTGCAGCTGGAAATCTGGCCATAGCCAGGGACCCTCCACTACCCTGTGTCACTGCGTGGCATCGTTGATAGTGGTAGAGACAGTGATATTTCCACTGGGGCATTTGTGGGTGACTCAGTAGTAATGACTACCCTCCAGGGTACTTTTCATAGTTTTGTCTTGTTTGGAAACTGTTATAGGAGAAGCAGCTAGAACAGCATTGTCATTCCACAACAACCCGCAATGCCCTTTACGTCACCCTTTTCGGCAAAATGATGGCGCAGTAAGTGGTGGTCATTTTCTGTGAGATTGGTGTGGGCATGTTTGGTTTTGTGTTGCTGCAGACCGCTTTCTCACCCTGTGAACTGAGAGCTGCTCACAGGACAGTTCCTGGACCTCTCAGGTTTCTCCCTGTACCCAGCATGACACTAACACTCACTGTGATTTATTGTTGAGGATGGAGTAGGCTGTACAGTTTATCAGACGGTGGATAGGCTTGTCTAATTTTTATCACATTAACCCTTTTTATCCTGGGTTTGCACAAGGCCATCTTGGCCCTCATTTGGGGACCTCTGGTGAATACCAGTAATGGTTATCACCACCTTAGGCCCCTAACTTTGGGAAAGCAGAACCAGCTGAAGTGTAAGAACATCGTGTTGGGGATCCTATTGTTGGCAAGTATGTAGGGAGGAACTCTTCACTATTCTCAGATGCACATACGTCTGTCAAGAAGTTCTAGTGTTGCTTTCTATCTAGTAGGGATCTGCCTTCAGTAGGCTCTGTACTGTTGTACTTCTGTTTCTTCCTAGACAGCTTCACTCTCACAGTTGTCTCTCCTCAACCAGAGGTATATGTATATGTATGTGTGTGTTCATCACAATAAGATAATCTTAGTACAACCTTTTATAGACAGTGAATCTAATTTTCTTATCTCTTAATTCCACATTCTCATCTTGTGTATGAAACATGAAGTGAAAAGAAAAACATCTTCCTCAACTTTTAAGTTAACTGCAACATGTCCACCAGGCTCTCTGCTGTTAAGTGGTGGCAAGGTACCCGGCCTTGGTAAGCTGCAGCAGCACACTGAGCCCAGCACAGAATGTGCTTCCTCTTCCATACGCTTCACAGTGTTTGTCGGGAGAATATATTTTAAGAGCCATGGACCATTTTTGTATTTTAAAAAATTACTGAGAAGTATGCTGGGTGCTTGGAGTTTGTTTTTGCAGTGCTGGGGATTGAAGCCAGGGCTAGGCAAGGGCAAGCACTCTACTGCTAGGCTACATCTCTAGGTCAGGATAGCCCTTTTTCATTTTGAGACAAGATCTCACTAGGTTATAAGACTGGCTTAAATTCACTCTGTACCTTAGGTAGACCTTAAACTTAAGATGCTCCTGCCTCAGCTTCCCAAGTAGCTGGGATTGTAGGCTTGCACTATCAGGCCTTCCTTATTTACTGAATTTCTTTAGCTTACCCCAGTGTTCTCAAAACTCTGGCTCTACATAGTTTTGGTATGCATGGCTAAGGGACAGTGCTTATCATGACATGCATGACAATGTTTCCTGCATGAAGGTGGCATGCTGGAGGGTAAAAGCCAAGTCTTATTCATTTTTATGTTCCACAATTAAAGTAATTACTTGACATACAGTAACTCTCAGCATATGTTTATTGAAATGAATTAAATGGTTTAATAAAAGAAGCCCAGTGACTCCAGCAGCCCCATAAAACTACCATTTTTCTTGAATTCCCAAGATGAATTGTACCATAAAAATAGAGGTCATTGTTTTTGTGTACCCAGATTTTTCAGATGTTGGTAGTCTGGAAGAAATTAAATCTGTTCTCAACTCCTACAGTGCTGGGAGAGCAGGCAACCTGGATAAAACCCTTCATCAGTGTCTACAGTGTCAAGATACGGTTGCATTGTACAGAATCATCCTCCGCTCCATCTGTGAGTCAATGCCAAACGATGTGGACAAAGAGCTGATGAAACAGGTGAACTCATGAGAAGGAGATTAGGTGTTTGGGTAGTTGTGTGGACTGACGTTAGTAAATTAATTTTTCATGTGAGTTTAAATGTGTTTCAAGCATGTATGGGTGTGCTGGAGCCAGCATGCGTGCTGATACAGTCTTCCTGCTTGTCACTGAGATCTGTTCACTCACTGTACTTGTTTCTTTAGTTCTTATGTGAATTGCTGGTTCAAGATCTTTATTTGTTTGTTTGTTTATTTATTTATTTATAGTTTTTTGTGACAGGGTCCTCCTGTAGCCCCAGCTGACCTGGAACTTGCTATGTAGACCAGGCTGGCCTCAATCTCACAAAGCTCTACAGAGCTGCTCCTCCAGAGTGCTGGGATTAAAGGCATGTGCCACTACATCCAGCTTTCGGTTTTTATTTTTTGGTTTTTTTATTTGTTTTAACGTATATGAGTGTATTGTCTGCATGTATGTAAGTGTACCTGTGTCCTGCAATGCCCATTAAGGTTAGAAGAGGGCATCAGATACCCTGGAACTGGATGGTTGTTAGCCACCATGTGGGTGCTGGGAACTGAACTGAGGTCCTCTGCAAGAGCAGCCAGTGCTCTTGACCACTGAGTCATC